CTAGCACCCTTCTCCATGGGATAATGAGAAAGAAACATGTGCTTCACCCCTGACCACTGGAATTTCCAATAAAGCCTGTTCTTATGGGACATTGTGGTATTTACCTTTCCTACCTTGTTGCCATTCAGCAAAATGTTAGCTTCTCCTCATTCTATTACTTTGGTGTTAGCTCCATTTATAAAGGAAGCTTCAGAGAAGATGTAGTAGCCTTGGGTATGACTGTTTACGTAGTCAACCATGTAAAATTTCCTGCCTAAATGACAACAGTTATTCTTAGCACACTGTTGTCAGTTTTACCTCAGATCTCTTCCATATGCTGGTCTCGTGAAGTCCTCTAACATAAAACTTGTGAGCACACTAAGCACTGTCACAGATAAAGTTTTAAGTTAGAATTTTCCAAGTCTTTACATATGCGCAAAAAATTAGTTGTTTGTAAGTTTATAGGGATTCAAGGAAGAAAGCTTAGAAAGTACACTTAGAAACTTCAGAAGCAAAACAGATGTGGGAAAAAAATTGGTCTTCAGAGTTCTCAATTCTCAGCCTTAAGGTAAATTTATGATATTTTTACAAAGAGAAAAAAGGAAACTACTATGCTTTGAAGTAGAAGTAGTATATGCCTAGCTTTTGGGCTGCAGTTTTATGATATAATAAAGAAAGCATAATGATTTTTTTTATTTAAAAAAATGCTAAGGGGCAAAAAGTGCATACACCTAAAAGAATGTCCCACTAACTTAAAGCAGAACTAAAAATAAAAACATTATACAGAAGCAAAATGATATTTTCTTTTGAAAATTTTCATAAAAGAAAGAAGTCAAATCTGCAAGTCATTCAGGGTAAAATATATGTTTATAAACCTACAAGAGACAGAATTCCTGCTTTCAAAGAATTTTATAGGCTAAAAACACAATAAAAATATTTTTGGAAAGAATTATAGGTCGTGAGATGTAAGAGATGCATCATCAGTAAGGAAGCTCCTATTTTCTCCTTAATAGTAAAATTTCAAATTTTCAGTGAAGTATGATTTAGTGCTCCAAGGTAATGAAGAAACATACTCTCTTAAATTTCCTGTTCTACCCATCTTCTGTAGGTGTCTTTAAATGTTGGCCTTCTTAATGTCTTTCACCTTACTATTGGTAGAAAGCACAAAATGGACATTTCTAAGGAATATTTGATGAAGAACTGGTGATAGGACCCTGCCTGCACCCCAAGAACTTTAAGAGGTGAAAAAGAGCAGAGCACCCAGCGGGCTTTGAATTATGTCTTTGTGCTTTAGCTACAAATCTTCAACATGTTCAGATGGTCATTAACTGCACGAATTTCAGTTTGTGGACCTGGAAGTGGGAGGAAGTGGAGAAACAACAAAAGGAGCTAGCCGTGAGACTGCTGAATAAATGCAGAATCAAGCAAATGGAAGAAATAACATTTCCCACGCTTTGTGTTTAGGGAGCCAGAGAGATTTCATCAAAGCAGAGCTTAGACTGAAGTTTGCTTTTCAACAACTTTTTAAAAAGCAGAGATTTCATCCCCATACTCCTACTGGACAGGATAGACTGTTCAGCCAGGCCTTATCTCACCTGTGTCTTCAGGCCACTGAGCTGTAGCGCTAATCCACTCACCTCTGCTATTCCCAGAGAGGAGTCTATCCCTAAAGGAAGCTGGCAAAATGCATAACTCCAGGGGGCACCCTTCACAAACGCTAAAGCATGAATGGTGCAATGTGAAAGCTGCCTCCTGAGCTGTGCCACATGACATGCTCCCAACAGAGGGATGATGAGGCTGCTGGGGTTCTCTCCATCAGGCCAGAGACACTTTAAGTTAAATTGCTAGAGCCTGTAATGAGCAGTGAAAAACGGATAAGGACATAACATTTTTTCAAAGATTAATGATGAATGATTGTCATTTGCGTAATGAACTGTAGATTCTGGTGAGAAATTTAATTGACTAATCCTTCAAAATCTATAGAATTCTCTGAGTCATAACCCCACCCCACTACTCTTTGGTCTCATTTCCCTCTGACTTTGCATGTTCTCTTCCCCTATCCCAAATCCTTGTCCACATCCCTTCATTTGTACCTTTCATTAATATATCTCTTCTCAGTTTGTCTCTTTCATCTTTCCTTCTGCAAATAACATTTATTTCTGTTCTGCTATTTTTAAGAATATTTTTATTCATTTATTTGAGAGAGAGAGAGAGAGAGAGCAAAGCAGGAGGGAGAGGAAGAGAGAATCTGAAGCATACGCCACAGTGAACACAGAGCTCAAAGCGGGGCTTGTTCTTACAGTGGGGAGATCATGACCTGTGCCAGAACCAAGAGTGGACCAACTGAACCATACAGATGCCTCCCTGTTCTGCTATTCTAAGCATTACCAATATGTCTCCTCTTCTCTCTCTTTCTGCTTTTCCTTTCTGTGTCCCAGCAGGTACCATTCATGTCCATCTGCCATTTTACTGTCTATTGACCTTTTATGTCCTCTTGTCATATCCAGTTTCTTCTGTTTTTCTAGTTTTCTATCTTTTCCTTCAACTGACCATAACAAGAAGCCAAAGTACATTTGTCCATGTTCTCTCTGTGGTCCCAGATTGATTATCTTCCATGTCTTTGATCCTTGAGAATATACAGAATATTTTGGGGGATTCTAAAGTAAATCTTAAAGCCCTTGATATTTAAAGCTGGCATTTTCATTATACTTTGATATACTGCAACCTTATAAATATTTATAATATATACCGAAGAATATTTTTATAATATTTTTTTCTTCCAACAAGAGTACTAAAGTCCAGGCTGTGTGATCCTTCAATTCAAATGTATAAATCTTCCTCACTGATTTTAGAATTCCTGAAAAAATGCTCGAAACTATGTCAGAATGCTGCTCAAACCTCTATTTTTCTGTGGACTTTTGGTGTACACAAAAGCCAAGCCTGCTTGCTGGTCTTATTCCACCAAATTATTATAATACCTCCTATAAAGTCAACCTTTGGACAACAACATTTTCATAATTTTGGAACACAAATAATGATTTATACAACTCTGAGCTTTTAGATTAAGTAGAAAGCTAGTCCAGTAGAAAAATAATATAAAATAAATAAAACATTAAATTAATTAAGAAGAATAAAAAGGACAAAATGCAAATACACAAAATGAGATTTGGTTGAGGAAGAAAATAACCACAGAAACAGTGGAATCTTAATACACTACTTTAGTCAAATATGGCCAAATAATTCTGAAAAGGGGGATAAAATAAGTATTCAAAGGAAGCATAATCTGCTAAAATTGACTGAAAAAAAGAGAAAGAACAAAAGAGACTTATATTCAGGGTCGATACTCCAGATACTTTTATAGAATGGACCTCAAACAGAAAGAATTGAATTTAGCTGTACCTGTGCATTCTGGCTGAATTAGCCTTGCCAATAGCCATACAAAAATAGAAAAATTTGACAAAAAGCTACCCTTAGAAGAGGCATAAGGTACTGATGGTTTAAGAGGTAATTCTATCAAACCTTGAAAGAGTAGATAATTCCAAAATTACTGAAATTCTTTTAGAACATAGAAAAAGAAAATAAATAAGAACTTAGTATTTAATAAGTTAACATTTTAAATCAGAATAAATGTTGAAAGGAGCTAGGTGACTCAATAAATATTGTTAGGATGACTGAGTAGCCATCTAGATTGACAGCTCACACCACACACACACACACACACACACACACACAAAACTTCAAATGGACCAATGGCTAAAATATTCAAAATAGATCCTTAAAAGTACCAGAAAACAATATGACAACATTTTAATCACAAAATGAAAAGAGCTTTTCTAAATAGATTTATAGTGAAAAATTGATAAATTATATTACCTAGAAACATGACTAAGGCAAAAAATACTATAAGCAAAATTTAAAGATAAGAAGTGAAGGGGAAAATCAACATTTTTAGCTCTTACCATAGACAAAGAGACACATCAATTAATAAATAAATATTCTAGCAAAACTAAGTGAAAAAGAAACAAACTCAATGGAAAAATGGGCAAAAGAAATAGTTAATTCCCATATAAATGAAAAACAAAAGGCTCTTAACATATGAAAATTATTCAAACCACTCACCTAAAGAAAACAATATTGAGAAACCATATTTCACTTTTCAGATTACAAAAACCCAAAAGTTTGTCAACATCCTCTACTGGAAAAACTAAAAACAAACAAGTACTTCAGATATTGCTGGGGGCAGGGGATATAAATTTACACAATTCCTCTGAAAGGCAGTTTGAAAATATCTACCAAAATTACAAAGGCATATACCCTCTGACTCAGAAATCACACTCCTGAGAATTTATCCTGCAGGTATACTTTCTCATGTATAAAAAGTCCTAAAGTGGAAGTGGAAGGTTAAATTCTGTGGCAATATATAGTAGCAGACAATCTAAAACAACCCAGATGCCAACCAATAGGAAAACTGATTAAATAAACTGTGGGACATTCATAGTAAGGAAAACATCATAATAGATTAAAAATATAATAACAATGAGAAAATTCTCTATGTACTGGCATGAAAAAAATCTCTAAGAAATGAAGTTATATAAAAAATGTGAGATGCTAAATGATATATTTAGAATGCTAACTTTTATGTAAAAATGGAGAGACAATTTAAAATATAATTTCTTTTGTTTACATTTTATAGACCCTGAAAGGATACACAAGCAATTAATGATAGGGAGAGGCAGTGGTAGACTAGGCAAATGAAGGTCAGTTATGGGAGGGAGGCTTTCATCATATTAAAACACTGATTAATTTTATATAATATTATCTATTTTAAACATGAGGAAATAAGTTGCTAAGAAGAGAGTACTTGCTTATGATAGAATACCTAGGAGCTGTTGGGGCCGAGATTTGAATTGAAAAAGAGAAAATGTGTTAAATCATGTGGCACATATTATATATCATTTACATGACTTTGAAATGTAGTATATTAGAACAACAGGACTATTTTGAATAATGCTTCATTTTACCTTATAGTAACATGTAGAACTCTCTTCTTCACAGAATCCTTTTTGTTCAGATATTTCCCTGGATCCTGTTTTTTCAATGGTTTTTTCAAAGGAAGAACATGGGCTTCAGTGGAGGGGAAGAACAGTTTGGAAAGAGCATTGGCAATTCTCCAGCCTATGTACTTAGAGTAAGTTTCATCCCCTACATTCGATGAGACTTTTGTATTATAATTAGTGAAGGGATCAGTTGGGTCATTTAACTCAGCCTGTTGAAAGAAAAGAAAAAGTAATCAATTTAAACCGAATTAAATGAGAGGAAAAATGACACATTTTTAAATAAAAGATAAACGTATGTTCATTTTGACTAATGTTGCATTCTTCCTGTTAAATAAAAATAACTTTTATAAGAAAAAAAGCAGATTCCCAAAAGATTTTTAAAATTATAAGTTAATAATGAAATAAACAATTAAGCATGAAAAAAGTCTTGAAATTTCAAAAATTTAATGATATGATTTCCTTTCTTTTTTAAAGATTTATTTATTTATTTGACAGAGAGAGCAAAGGGGGGGGGGGAGAAGGAAGAATCCCAAGCAGACTCTACACTAAGCACCGAGCCCACCATAGTGCTTGAGCTCACGACCCTGAGATCATAACATTAAACTCACGACCCCGAGATCACGACCTAAGACAAAACCAAGAGTCAGACACTTAACTGACTGCACCACTCAGGTACCCCTTAGTGATATAATTTCGGTCTTAAATTTGTATGGTTTTCATACCTGAATTTCATATTTATAATATTTAATAAGAAATTAAGCAATCAGAGAGGAAGCGAGATGATGGAGGAGTAGGACTCTTAAATATTAGGTCCTAGGAGTCCAGTTGGATAGTTATCAAACCATTCTGAATACCTACAAATTCAACAAGAAATAGAAGAAAAGAAGAGCAACAATTCTAGGAACAGAAAATCGACCACTTTCTGAAAGGTAGGATGTGCAAAGTGAATCTGAAGCGATGGGAAGATAGACTGCAGGGGAAGGGACAGCTCCCAGCAAGCGGCGGAGCAGTGGAGCACAAAATTGGAACTTTAAAAGTCTGCTCCACTGAGGGACATCACTCCAGAGGCTGAGCAGGGGTGGAGCCCTCATGGGGACTGTGTCTCTCAGGACCTGCAGGGTCACAGAAAGACCGGGTGTGCCTGAGTGTGGCAGAGCTCCCAGGTATCAGAGAGGGGAAGCCCACTACAGAGACAGATGAAGAGTGAGCTCTCAGCTCAGAGTTACCTTAAACCGTGATCTGAGGTACAGTTGGACCACTGCTCTTCAAGCAGGGACCCCACAAGTGGCAGATCTGGAGAGACCCCCTCCTTCCTCCTCTGGGAGGAGTGGCAAGGAGCAGGAAACTGATGGGTTTGGAGACTCCAAATGGAGCTGTGTGCCAGAGATTGAAACACTTGGTCACACGCCAGGTGAACATGGAGTGCAGCCAGAGACCAGGGAGATGGGAGGGATTGACGCTTTTCTCTGAAGTTGCACTGAGGAATGGGATCTCTCAGCTCCTCCGGGCTAGAGATAGGGAGGACGCCATTTTCATTCCCATCCCCCAAAGCTCTACGGAAAGCATTCAGGGAACAAAAGCTCCCATTCAGGGAACAAGAGCCCCAGAGACCCAAACTGTACAGATTACTTAGCCTGGCTCCTTGCAAAGGTAGTATAATTTTGCCTCAGGCAAAGACATTTGAGAATCACAGCAACAAACCCCTCCCCCAGAAGATCAGCAAGAATATCCAGCCAAGACCAAGTTCACTGATCAATGAGAAATGCAGAACTCCAGAGCAACACATAGAATTCATGGCATTTTCCCATGGTTCTTTAGTCTTTCAAAGTTAAATTTTTTAAATTTTATTTTTCTCCTATTTAACTTTTCCTCTTTCCTCTTGTAATTTTTTTAACTATTTTATTTTATCAATAGTTTTTTTAAAATCTTTTTAAATTTTCATTGTTATAGTCATATTTTATCCCTTCATTGTATTTAACCTTATTTCTTGTATACATATAGGGTTTTTTTTTCCCTTTAAAATTTTGGGATACAATTTCTTCTAATAGATCAAAATATAACCTACATCTAGCACCTGGCTTTGTTCTAGTGTCCAGCCTGATTACATTCTCTCCTTTTTTTTTTCTTTTTCTTTTTCCTTATCAATTCCTTTTTTTTTTAAGATTTTATTTATTTATTTGAGAGAGAGACAGCGAGAGAGAGAGCATGAGCGAGGAGAAGGTCAGAGGGAGAAGCAGACTCCCCATGGAGCCGGGAGCCCGATGTGGGACTCGATCCCGGGACCCCAGGATCACGACCCGAGCCGAAGGCAGTCGTCCAACCAACTGAGCCACCCAGGCGTCCCCTTATCAATTCCTTTTTTAGAATCTTTTTAAATTTTCATCTTTATGGTCATATTCCATCTCTTCATCATGTTTATTCTTATTTTTGTACATATATAAGTTTTTCTTTCTTTAAAATTATGGGAGGTAGTTTCTTCTAAGAGACCAGAATACACCCAGAATCAAGTAGGTGTCTCTGTTCTATTCAACAGTCTAATATATACATTTTTATATTTTTCCCTCTTTCTTCTTCCCCCAGTTTTGGGTCACTTCTGATTTGGTTAGTGTATATTTTTCTAGGGACTTTGCCACCCCTTTAGTATTTTGTTCTCTCATTCATCTGTTCTTATTGGATAAAATGACAAGGCAGAAAAACTCACACACACGAAAAAAAAAAAAGAACAAGAGGCAGTACGATGGCTAGGGATGTAATCAATATGGACATTAGTAATATGTCAGAACTAGAGTTCAGAATGACAATTATCAAAGCGCTAGCTGGGCTCGGAAAAGGCATAAAAGATATTAGAGAATCCCTTTCTGGAGAAATAAAAGAACTAAAATCTAGTCAACTTGAAATAAAAAAAGCTATTAAGGAGGTGCAATAAAAAAGGAGGCTCTTACTGCTAGGACAAATGAGGCAGAAGAGAGAATGTGATAGAGAAGACCAAATGACAGAGAATAAAGAAGCTGAGCAAAAGAGAGAAAAACAACTATTGGACCATGAGGGGAGAATTCGAGAGATAAGTGATACCATAAGATGAAACAATATTAGAATAATTGGGATTCCAGAAGAAGAAGGAGAGAGAGAGAGAGGGGCAGAAGGTATATTGGAGCAAATGAGAGTGAGAAATCCCCCAATTTGGGGAAGGAAACAGGCATCAGAATACATGAGGCACAGAGATCCCCCTTAAAATCAATAAAAATAGGTACACATTCGTCATCAGATCATAAAACTTACAAGTCTTAATGACAAAGAGAAAATCCTGAAAACAGCTCGGGACAAGATGTAACATGCAATGGTAGAAATATTAGATTGACAGCAAACTTATCCACAGAGACCTGGCAGGCCAGAAAGGACTGGCATATATATTCAGAGCACGAAAAAAGAAAAATATGCAGCCAAGAACACTATATCCAGCTAGACTGTCATTGAAAATAGGAGGGATAAAAAGCTTCCAGGACAAACAAAAATTAAAAGAATTTGCAAACCACAAACCAGCCCTACAGGAAATATTCAAAGGGGTCCTCTAAGCAGAGAAAGAGTCTTAAAGTAGTGGACCAGAAAGTAACAGAGAGACAATATACAGTAACAGTCACCTTACAGGCAATACAATGGCACTAAATTCATATCTTTCAATAGTTACCTGAATGTAAATAGGCTAAATGCCTGAATCAAAAGACATTGTGTATAAAAACAGATTAAAAAAAAAAGACCCATTGATACGCTATCTGCAAGAGACTCATTTTAGACACAAAGACACCTCCAGATTTAAAGTGATGGGGTGGAAAACAATTTACCATGCTAACGGACATCAAAAGAAAGCTGGGATGGCAATCCTTATATCAGATAAATTAGATTTTAAACCAAAGACTATAATAAAAGATGAGGAAGGACACTATATCATAATTAAAGGGTCTGTCCAACAAGAAGATCTAACAATTTTAAATATCTATGCCCCTAACATGAGAGCAGCCAATTATATAAACCAGTTAATAACAAAATCAAAGAAACATATCAACAATAATACAGTAACAGTAGGGGACTTTAACAGCCCCCCTCACTGAAATAGACAGGTCACTGAAGCAAAAGACCAGCAAGGAAATAAAGGCTTTAAATGACACACTGGACCAGATGGACATAACAGATATATTCAGAACATTCCATCCCAAAGCAACAGAATACACATTCTTCTCTAGTGCACATGGAACATTCTCCAGAAGAGATTACATTCTGGGGCACAAATCAGGTCTCAACCAGTACCAAAAGACTGGGATCATTCCATGCATATTTTCAGACCTCAGTGCTCTGAAACTAGAACTCAATCACAAGAGGAAACTTGGAAAGATCTCAAATACATGGAGGCTAAAGAACATCCAACTGAAGAATGAATGGGTCAACCAGGAAATTAAAGAAGAATTTAAAAATTCATGAAAATGAAGACACAAGTGTTCAAAATCTATGGGACACCGCAAAGGTGGTCCTCAGAGGAACGTATATAGTAATACAAGCCTTTCTCAAGAAACAAGAAAGGTCTCAAGTACACAACTTAACCCTACACCAAAAGGAGCTGGAGAAAGGACAGCAAAGAAAACCTAAACCCAGCAGGAGAAGAGAAATCATAAAGATCAGAGCAGAAATCAATGAAACAGAAACCAAAAAAACATTAGAACATATCAACGAAACTAGGAGCTGGTTCTTTGAAAGAATTAATAAGATAGATAAACCTCTGGCCAGACTTATCAAAAAGAAAAGAGAAAGGACCCAAATTAATAAAATCATGAATGAAAAAGGAGGGATCACAACCAACACCAAAAAAATACAAACAATTATAAGAACATATTATGTACAACCATATGCCTGCAAATTTGACAATCTGGAAGAAATGGATGCATCCCTAGAGATGTATAAACTACCAAAACTGAACCAGGAAGAAATAGAAAACCTGAACAGTCCCATAACCAGTAAGGAGACTGAAGCAGTCATCAAAAATCTCCCAACAAACAAGAGCCCAGGGCCAGACGGCTTCCCATGGGGAATTCTACCAAACATTTAAAGAAGAATTAATACCTATTCTCCTGAAACTGTTCCAAAAAATGGAAATGGAAAGAAAACTTCCAAACCTATTTTATGAGGACAGCATTACCTGGATCCCAAAACCTTGATCCCT